AAGTTCTCTGAAACAAGTAGAGCCACTAGAAAATATAAATAACAGTTTATCATAGTCTAGCCAAGTCTTCTGAAACAACAGGTAACAACTAGATATTTTCTAGTGACTAAATAACAGTTTATCTTACTCTAGCCAAGTCCTCTGAAACAAGTAGAACCACTAGAAAATATAAATAACAGTTTATCTTACTCTAGCCAAGTCTTCTGAAACAACAGGTAACTGCTAGAGCCACTGGAAAATATAAATAACAGCCTCCTAACTACTAGAATATTTCTTAGCAAAATGTTTTCTTAGAATTACTTGAAATAATTTTTACCTGAATTTTATTCCTAATAAATCTCGAAATACAAAAAAAACTCTTTATACAATTTCAGTGAAAAAACTTAATTCAACAATAATCATTTGTTGGCACCACTTCTGTTTTACGAAGAATAATAAACTGTTAACATCTATGTTACACAAGCATGTGAAACTGTACAGCATTAGAAAAAGAACATCCAGCAACAACTCCTCAATGATGCTGTTACATTTTTATGCATGAAATGCAAAATTTTCAAAATAGTAATCTTATTCTATTTTACAAATATTACAATGAAGTTCAGGTTTTAAGTTACTTTTTAATTTTCTAACTTTATTGAATTATAACAAGCAGCACTCTACAGGTTATAGTGGTTTTGTCAGGGAAGTGGCCAACAACAAAATGTTTTAAAAACCTATTATATTAAATGTACTTATTGACAAAAACCGATAAAACCAGTTAAAAGTAGTGGTAAAGACACGTGTAATATAATATCTTATCTCACTTGCTAGCCCTAGAAACAAAACCTATACAGTGCCAGCATAACGTATTATAAGAGTGAAGATTCAGAAAAAGGCTTTGTTCACGAGGAAAAAGGTTTAGGCATAACCCTTTCTAATAAGTCAGCATTCTTTCTTTGATGAGGACAGTAAAACTCCACACAGTACTCCAAGTTTGGTCAACCAATGATTTGTATAAAGAGATAATTAACTCCTTAGGCTTCCAGTAAACACATCCTAATATGCTGTTAGCTTTACTAATTTATAAAACACAAGTTATGTATTCATAACTATGCCAAGATCCTTTTCTTCAGTCATACTATGTGTAATCCAAATTCTATTAACCCAAATGCAGCACATTGCAATTATTACAATTAAAGATAAGTTGTCCAATACTTATCTAATACTTCAATTAATCCTTAATACAACTGGAAATACCTAAGTTAATGTCATCAGCAAATTTTACTAATTATGCCCCCACTAATATTATTAATGTAAATAAGAAAAAGCAAAGGCCCAAGCACTGACCCCTGAAGCAAAATAAGTTATTTTGGTCCAGTTTAACTGAACTCCATTAATAAGAGCTTGTTGTCTTCTCTCACCCAGCCACCCAACCATCCAATCAGTCTTTTTCCCAACACTTACCAATGTAACTTTCTTAGCTAATATTCTCTGTAACACCTTATCAAAGTCCAAGTCTACACCCTTACAGTTAACATGTGACATCCTCAATCATATCTCAATAAATAATTTTACAAAGCACTTCTTTTATCAGCTTCTAGAATTTTATAGTTTTTCCACTACAGAAGTAAGACTAACTGACATATAATTTCCAACTGAATTGTTATAACCTCCTTAAAAAAGGGGTAGCATCAGCAGGTTAGTTGAAAAGGTAAAAATTAATAGTAAGGATTTCTTTGAATAAATTCAGGGTAAGTAAAATGTTAGAAAGGGATTTGGGACTTTGAGGGTGACACAGGAGGGCTTATATCTAATAATCAGGAGATGTCCAAGTTATTAAATTATATTTTTTCTTCAAATTTTTATTTAGGAACATTTAAGCAATATTCCTCAATCTTAACAGTTGCTAGATGGAAACAAGATTGAAAGATATGAACACATTAATTCTGAGCATGTTAAGAAAAAAAAATAGAAAGTTTAAAGAATGAAAAGGGTCTTGAGCCACATAATATTTTCAGAAAGGTTTTGAAGGAGGATATGTATTGGGTATGTGAGACACTTGCTACTATTTTTGGTAGGCCTTTGGACAGTGGGCAAGTGCCAGAAGATTGGAAATTGATTACTGTTATTCCTCTTTCAAAGGAAGTAGTAAAAATTGTCCCATTAATTATAGGCCGATCAGTTTTGCATCAGTAGTGTGAAAAATTTATGAAAATTTATTGAATGAAGTTTAAAAAATTTTGTTGGATAGTCAACATGGTTTCTTTACAGGATAAATCTTGCTTTACTAATCTTCTGACATTCTTTGAAGAGGTTACAGCTTATGTACAAGAGGATACAGATGTGGATTTCATGTATCTGGATTTTCTGAAAGCATTTGGCAAGGTGCCATATAAAAGGCTTATTAAAAACATTATCCTTGTAGGTTCAGAGGATAAATAGGTTCATTGGTTAGAAAAAGAGGTGGATGAGACAAAGCAGAGAGTTATTTAAAATAGAGTTCAGTGAAACTGAATTAGTGACACAAGTAGAGTACCTTAGGGCTCATTGTTAGGACTTTTGCTGTTTCTTGTTTATTTCAATAAAACAGATGAAGGAATGGTCAATAAAGTACTTAAATTTGCTGATGACATTAAAGTTTTGGGTTTTTCTGCTTTACAAAAGAATTTGGATTATTTAGTAAATTTGGGTAAATAAATGGTAGATTGTTTTTAATTTCAATAAAAGCAAGGTAATGCATGCAAGATATTATAATTTAAATTATAGTTTTTTTTTATGGGAATAACCCTAACAGTATTATGGAAGAAAAGAATCTTGGTATTCTGATTGTTCCGTCTCTAAAGCCATCCAAACAATGTGCTATTGCTAATGGCAGAACAAATACAATTTTAGGTTGTATCTACAGAAATATTGGATCCATGTCTAACAAGGTTATAATTCTATTGTATAAGTCACTAGTGAGGTCACATTTGGAGTACTGTGTTCAGTCTTTGCCTTCTTACTATAGGAAGGATATTGAATTGTTATAAAGGGTTCAAAGGAGGGCTACAAGGATGACATCTTGAATGGAAAGGTTGTCATATGAGGACAGGTTACTATCTCTGAAATTGTTTCCTCTTGAAAAAAGAAGAGTCAAAGGGTATTTGATTGAGGTGTTTAAAATTGTTAAGGGAATTGATAGTTTTGATGCATCATCTTTTTTGCACTTAATATATATATATCAGGCTGGATATAAGTGACTTCTTTACATAGTTTGGAGTAGGGTTGTAGTAGAAAATGAAATAGTGTAGATAACATAAAATACCTTTTGTTATCTCTTGGAAGCAAAATAAAAAACATAACCACAGTAATGCCAATTAACTCTTCAAGATTATCTTCTTTCTCTCCAAATAATGGCTAGCTCATCACACAACAAATACTGCCTTTCATAACCATATACCTACTCTTAAATAAGTATGAATAAATTCAACACAAACTGTACCTACCATATAATTATGGATGTTTTTTTAATAATAAATTTTTCTCCAGCAGCAATGTTAGATTTAACTTATTTTAGACACATAGATAAGGTAAGTTGAAAAATGTACTGGTCACAAAACAAACCTGTACCTACAATAATCCGAAACAGCTGCTATAGTCAGGACTTGAACTCAGGATTCTCAGTTCATGATAGAGACACAAAATTAATGCTCTACCTACTTAGTTTGAAGGGATTCAAGATCCAAGCAGATAACTCTCCACCTTTCTTCATTAGACACTTATTTATTTAAGTTTTTACTTGTATATCTAACCGGTCATTACATCCCTAACTTACTTCCTATTGGGATTTCAGCATATAAAATAAACACATTAACTAACTCAGCTTTATTTCTTTGCTTCTGTGAAAACAAGTACTGTTAGAAAAGCCATATAAGAAATTTATTAGCCTACAATTTTTTTCTTATTTTTGTACTGCCTGAAAAATTTATTGTGGCCTATATTGACCTTCTGTTTTCAATATGTTTCAAATATTTTCTGTGTATAAATCTAGGCTGATGAAAAACAAAAGGAGCTACTATTACATTTGAGTGTTACTAGCAGACTTGAAAATTAGAAATATGGTGTAAAACTTACAAGCATTTATATATATATATAAAGGAAATTTACTTGTGGTTGTACCTTATGTGGTAAGCATTATTTTTTGCCAAACAGGAAATACTTGAATTTCAAATTTATAAGTTATTCCAATGAGAATATGGCAGTTTTGTTTCTATGTGTGCATTGAAAATTTTAAGATAACTTCTACTCATCCAAGTTTTACGTGTACATCAGATTGTTGCCCCTTATTTCTGACTTCAACTTTTCCAAAATCTACAACTCATCATAGTTCCATGTTATGTACTTTAGACTAGTTACGTCATAAAGTATTATAATGGGTATAACGAACATTTTCTATTTTCCCTGAAAAAACATATGTATGAACTTACATACTGCAAATCACAACAAAAACCATTTTTCACATGTCAACAATAATAACTCACCAAATGCAGCACTACATTCACAATCTCCTTATTTGATACTTGTCCAACTTCAACTAATCCTATCAACACTGCAAATTTTAAATTGTCTTTCAGAGGCATTTTAATAACATCCTCTGGACGTTTAGCTTCGCTAAGCGCCTTTTCGTCTGATTTATCCATTTTGATTTTTATTCGCAATCCAAGTAGGCCTAATGGACAGTTGGTTTAAATTGCCGACTAAAGAGAATATCTTCCAGCAAAGGCGTTCACCATAACACTGCCTCTTGCTGACATGTTGGATTCGACTCATTCAAGGACCGCAGATAAGGAAATATCAAATCTTTATTCGTTCAAAAATAGAAAATAATTCCAGAAGTAAATCCTCTAAAAAGAATAGTTTTCTTTATTATATATAGATTTTAATTTTGGCATTTAATAGATAATATTTCAAAAAATATTAAGCTCAAATGCAAAAATAAAACATCATTAAAATTACCACCAGATGTCAGAATTGATATTATCATTATTATTTCCGGTTGGAAGTATCAGGCCTAGTCAGTCAGTGTTAATTTTATACATCTTTTGGAAATACTTTCAAAAAGCTAGAGGTAATTTACAGTTATTGTTAGCTTTAATTTCTCAAGCTCCAAAAATAAAGGGTGAGTGAATAAAATGAATGAGTCTAAACTTTTCTTCTAATATCACTTTAGTTGTAATTCAACAAGAAACCAATTTTTTCTTCAATTCAAAACTGAAGTTGTTAAGTCAATACTCAAATATCGAGTAAAGTTGTTTTGTTTATTTACAGTTTGACACTTCTTGTATCTAGCCCGATATTTGGGGTATCTACACACACCTATGAAAAAGTAAAAATCGTAAACCTATCTTTTACTTGCTAGAACTAGAACTTAGAAGCAGAATAAACTAAAAGAATTACATGTTATGACTACAACTAGTCTGAACGGAGGAATTTTATATTACGACTACGAGATTAACTGAAAATGAAATGTAGATCAGTTTTTATTACAAAAATGTTTTAAGTTGGAAATACGGGGTTATACTTTTTTATAGGTTGTTAAATACGAGGGTTGTGCTTCCTCAAATAATTTTAATTTCAGGCATACAGATTGAGAAATTTCTGAGTCAAACTATTTGGTTGACTGTTGTTTATTCAGCATGATTTTCTTTGAGTTCAACGATTCTTCAGCCTAACAATGCTAATTTATTCAATTTATTGTTAACTTCCAAAATGGAAATAATTGAGAAGGTGAAGGTTAGTAAACATTTGACTGCCAGTTATCATTGCTCAGTTAGGTTTGATGTTTTACTACATACGAGGATGTTGGAGTTTAAACTGTTTTCAATAGAAAATGACAGTCCCAGCATTTGAACCAAAAGTTGATTCATGCACAAGTGTCAGTAGTTCAAAATGTCACTAATTTCTTGATTATTCACTTGAGAATTTTTTTTAAATACAAAAATTGTGGGTCAGGCTGATTTATTGTTGTGAAACTAGGCATGAAAATCAGCTGTTATAATTCAAGTTTAAATGCTGCATATTGGATGAACTTTTCTTTCACTGACCCAAAGTTACATGTAACATGAAGGTACACGATTTTGGAGGAACAAAACTTGTAATAACATTAAGTAAAATAATATCAACTTAATGTTTTGTACTTGGTATGAGACTTCACTGAACTGTATCATTTGACTTTTTTGAGAACTCTTAATCAGGTCTGTTACAGTTAATTGTATGCTGTCTTTGTAATTGTTAATAGAGCAAATGTATGTAAAATCAAATCAAATTTTTTGTTTCTTATTTGATAAAAATATTTCATAATTAATAATTTTTTATAGGATTTCTTGCTGAAAATATTTTAGTTTTTTTTAAGGGTATGCTTGCAACAAAATACTTGAAAATGTTTCAGAATAGATGACTAAGTAAATACTTTTTCCGACCGTGACATATTATCAAAGCTGCATAGATCATGTACTTGTCCTAAGGTTGTATGTAAATGGAATTTGAGCAGTTCTGTAAATTTTATATCAGTTGAGGAAATGTACCAAAGTATATGTCTTATGGAATGACTGAATTTACTTAGGGTTAAGAATGACACTATGGTAAATTTTATCAAATATCCATTGTTTTTGTTGTTCATTCAACAAAATCTAAAATATGTCAAAGCACATTTCTTTCACTACTTCCATTTGTCTGCCTCAGAGTGAAAACCTCTTAATTTTAGTTACTACATACAATTGTTTTAATATATGTTTGAATATTTTCCAGGTAAGTTTAAGTTTATTAACATATATTTATATACATACTTAGTGTTTTTGTTTCAGATGCGTGATACAACTGGGATAAGATCTTTGACTCCACATGGACATGTTGGATTTGATACTTTTCCTGACCAACTAGTGAAAAAATCTCTTCAGCAAGGCTTCACCTTTAACATTCTCTGTATAGGTGAGTGACCAAGAGTCTGTATATATAAATTTTATCTTTAAACACTCTGCTCGACTTATACACAGAGTATCTGTAAAACACCTCCATTTCTTACTTAAACTTAGTTATTGACTTATACACGGGTATATATGGTAACTCTTATTACCTTACCAAACTAGACATTAGGAACAAAGTATTCTTGTATTAAGTCAACAGTAATTTCAGTATTATTCACATGACTATTAAATAACTCATTTTAAAAGGAAGCTGTAAGTCTTGAAAAAAAAACGTCTCCATCCCAACTTTAATGAGATTTTTTTTTCTGAAAAGTCCTCTTATATCTTAGTGTAAAACTGTTTTGTTTGCATTCTTCCACAACTGCTAAGATCAAATGTCTATGTGATCATGGATGTTAAAGTTTATTTTGTTCCCACTGAAACTGTGTAACACTTTAAAGGGCTGGAGATATTCTGGAAACCAGACAATATTTTACACTTACATTAAATGATTTCTCATCAAGATCGTAGTCTATAATATTCAGCTTTGTATGACAGAATTGAGCAGAATAAAACCAATTGTATGTTTCACAAATTTATTAATTATGACCATGGTTTGAATTGACACTGGTAAAGTCTTCATTATCATGGCAAAACTGGTTGTAATAAATAAAATATAGGTGAAATATACAATTTACAATTGTTTATGTTTTCCTCAGCTCTGTAATAATGGAGTTTTGCCAAGTACTTACAGTTTCAAGTATTAGTTATATTAAGTTTACTATCACATATTTACATGTAAGTGTGATTCATTGATGAGTTCCTGTCATAGAAACTTCTAACATGGACTTGAAAGTTGTATTGTTGACAATTTACATGTATTAAGGCTAGAAATGAGACTGTGTGAACCATCAACTGAAGATTTCATTGTTTAACCAAACTCTTTCATCTTCTGGCTGTCAGGTGAAACAGGCTTAGGGAAGTCTACCCTGATAAACTCACTGTTTAATACCAACTTTGATGGCACTCAGACTTCTCATGCATTGCCAGGAGTGAGGCTCAGGTCAAATATCTTTGGTAAGTATTAGAGAACAGTTATTGAGTGAGATTTCATTTAATTATTAACTAATTAGTAAAAAGTATTTAGTGTTTGTTGGTATACATGGTTTATTTTTATTTAATTGAAACGGACACAACCTCTAATTGAGTCCCATTATTTATGTGCAGGTTCTAATTCATAGGATATTTTCAGCAGAAAACATTCTTTCAACAGATGCTTTTCACATTATCTGTATAATTATTATTTACAAGCTTCATTCACCACTAACAATAATAAAGTAAACATCTCACAATTGTTTCCAGCTAGTCAATATCAACAAGTTTTAGAAAACAGTTAAGGCCAGACTTAGATATTTGTATGCTATTTGTGACTTATATGCTTATGTAGGTCTCTTAATCTAGTTCACACTAAAATGGTTTCTGTTGAAGCAGATGATGATATAAATATCGTCTTGACCTCTCCTATTCACTGGATATAGCAGATATAGTGTGGCTTGACATACTATAATTAAAGTCAATACTTTCATGGTGCATTCTTTGGTCCTCAGTTTCTCCTTTGCTTCATATCTAACAGTTGGCTTTGTATACATGTAAGCACAGTGTTAATATCAACAGTGTGCACTAGCCACTTGACTCATCACAACTACATACATGCTTGGGTCCTTTATCACTAATCACCCTCTGCTTTATGAATTGGCTTGGTTAACATTTTACAAAGCAAACTAGTTTCTTTGGGGGTGGGGGGCATGTCTCTATATTTGTCACATATTCCCTGGTAAGTTTTAATTATCAAAGCATTTCATACTTCAAATAGTTTAGCATATGTACGGCTAGTTACATGTGCAGGTTATTAAGTTACATACAACTACACATTTCAACTTCTAATTAAAAATTAATTCTCACTGTATGTTAACAAATTTGGTATCAAAATACAATTTATAACTTAGATTTTTATGTTATGTATTTTTTACAAGGTTTACATCCTTGATTTTTACTTTCCCTTTCCAACAATGTTTGGACATTGTCATTTTCTTCTAAGTGTCGTGCACTAATGGAGTATATAACAAACTTTTTATTATTTCTTTCTGCCTTATTTGAGTTATTCAAAATATTTGGCTCAATATTCATTTTTCATGATGGATAGAAGGCCATTAGTACTGTTCCCATCATCTGCTTCTAAACACTCATTACTCAATATTCATTTTCCATGATGGGTAGAAGGCCATTAGTACTGTTCCCATCATCTGCTTCTAAACATTCTTCACTCAATATTCATTTTCCATGATTGGTAGAAGTCCATTAGTACTGTTCTCATCATCTGCTTCTAAACATTTATTACTCAATTTTCATTTTCCATGATGAGTAGAAGTCCATTAGTAATGTTCCCATCATCTGCTTCTAAACATTCATTACTCAATATTCATTTTCCATGATGAGTAGAAGGCCATTAGTAATGTTCCCATCATCTGCTTCTAAACACTCATTACTCAATATTCATTTTCCATGATGGGTAGAAGGCCATTAGTACTGTTCCCATCATCTGCTTCCAAACATACATTACTCAATATTCATTTTCCATGATTGGTAGAAGTCCATTAGTAATGTTCTCATCATCTGCAAAGAATGTTTAGAAACTCAATTTTCATTTTCCATGATGAGTAGAAGGCCATTAGTACTGTTCCCATCATCTGCATCTAAACATTCTTTACTCAATATTCATTTTCCATGATGGGTAGAAGGCCATTAGTACTGTACCCATCATCTGCTTCTAGAACATTCATTACTCAATATTCATTTTCCATGATTGGCAGAAGTCCATAAGTACTGTTCCCATCATCTGCATCTAAACATTTATTACTCAATTTTTATTTTCCATGATGGGTAGAAGGCCATTAGTACTGTTCTCATCATCTGCTTCCAAACATTCATTACTCAATTTTCATTTTCCATGATGAGTAAAAGGCTATTAGTACTGTTCCCATCATCTGCTTCTAAACATTCATTTTAAGGCTCTCATGTCTCCTTTCTTCCAAGATATGAAGTTTTGTGACTTTTAGAGTCTCTTATTTCTTTTTTGTTTCCCCTTCTTTGTATTCTGGCAGGTCAGTGGAATATATTCTCTGTTCCACTGTCTTTTCTCCTTTATTTATCTCCTTCTCTTTACCTCTCGTATTAATGGTGACTCAAACATTTCCACATGACTCCATCTTCCTCCACTCCAGCCTGCCTGGACTTACACCTCTTCTTAGATGCCTGTCTAGCCAAGTGGTGAGCAGTTTTAGATATTTTAACCATTTTCAGTGTTTTGTCTTTTGCAGAGAAGTCTTTTTACATCAATGTCCTTGATATGCGGGCATTTCAGTGGACCTGCACCATTTTTTTTTGTTACAGTTGTTTAGACATCCTTTTTTGATTTATTTCAACAACTCAACTGTTATTTCTTACATGGATTAATGGGGAGATAATCATTTTCAGGACCTTTGCTTTCATTTTCTGAAACTCCACGATTAGGCTAACAACACTAACATCTGATTGTTAAACTTTCTTGTCCTTGGAGCTGTGAATATGGTGGCAGATCGGCCATCTTCTCTGAGATGAATCCTTCCAACAAAGTGGTCTCTACATCTTCTGGTATTTCTGTAGATTTGTTCCTCTTATCGATGCAACTCCTCTCTACATCAAGTTTCCACTTTTCTGATCTCCACGATTAGGCTAACAACACTAACATCTGATTGTTAAACTTTCTTGTCCTTGGAGCTGTGAATATGGTGGCAGTTCGGCCATCTTCCCTGAGATGAATCCTTCCAACAAAGTGGTCTATACATCTTCTGGTATTTCTGTAGATTTGTTCCTCTTATCGATGCAACTCCTCTCTACATCAAGTTTCCACTTTTCTGGTCTCCATGGACCTGGTGTTATTCACTCTGAGTCTGGATTGGTCCAGCTATCTTCCTGTTCAACTTCTTCTCAAGATGGTGTCTTTAATTCACAACACCCCTTTCATTGCCCTTTTCTGGTTAGCTTATTTGTGATGTTTCTGTTCCTTCATCTCTCGATCCCAGGGCCTATATTTCTTTGATCTTGGGGGTACCTTTTTTTACATCCTTCTCAACATCTATCTTTCACCACGATGTTCTACACCTTCATGTGTGGTTTTTGTCTAGTCCGTTGCAAGATGGCTAGTTTTTTTTTTTTTTGCAAATGTCGTCCATTTTGCTTCTCGCTCTCATCAGCCATCCACCCATACAAGTAAAATTTTTCCCCCCACCCCTTGGGGAATTTGCAAATTTCCCAAAAAAACTTCTCCTAAACTGTTGTTCTCACTAACTTTTATGTGGTGCCAAAAGAATTGTCTCTGCCCGATGTTAGTACAAAGGTAAAACTTTTCAAACAACCTCTTAGAGAATCTGGGTATTTCACAAAAACACTTTTTCTGAGATTCCATGAAAGTGGCTCCCAATTTGGCATTGATTTACATTAGAGCAGTGTTTCCCAACCCAAAAGCCACTGTGCCCCTGTATATGTTTTGAATATTTCACTGCACCCCAATAACATTAGTTGTATTTTAATATTTTAAAAGAAAAGTTGTGAAGGTGAGCATGGCAGGAGAGGTCTAATTTTCTGTTTGATTGCTCTTTAGAGTTAGACAAATAAGATTGAAGGATATAAAAATTTTGCTTCAACTGATCGACGATAACATTATAGAGAATAATTTACATTAAATTTCAATACTGTAACATGTGGAGGGTGTTTCATCATCCTACTTGTGGAGGATGTTTCCCCATCCTACTTGTGGAGGATGTTTTACCATCCTATTTGTGGAGGATGTTTCACCATCCTACTTGTGGAGGATGTTTCATCATCCTACTTGTGGAGGATGTTTCACCATCCTACTTGTGGAGGATGTTTTACCATCCTATTTGTGGAGGATGTTTCACCATCCTACTTGTGGAGGATGTTTCACCATCTTACATGTGGAGGATGTTTCACCATCCTATTGGCAGAAAGGTTTTAAAGCTGGACAATTAACATGATTTTTTAATATACTCAGTTACGTGAGTTAGTGTCATGTAAAATAATCAATTAATCAAAATTAGGTTTAGATTGATTAATGTCATAAATTAATCAATTATTCAAAATTAGGACTAACTAATGTCATTAAATAACCAATTAATTAGAATTAGTTTTTTCAGTTATTACTGTGTGGGTTTATTCCAACTATACAACTAATCCAAATAATAATATGGTTTTTCATTATTATTTTCACTTGGTTCAAGGTTGTTCAGGCTAGTTGATTAGTATTATGACTCATGGAAATATTCAACTCATCAAATTTAGTTTTTACAATTATTTTCAGTGGTTCCAACTATTCAAGTCTTGTGAGAATAATGGATTTGTTGAATGTAACTGCTTAACGAGCCTTACAGTTAATCAATTAGCAAATTTCACTAATCATCGAGCTCAAGATGGTCTGATTGCACAAAAAACTTCCACAATACACATCATTAAGTGTACAGCTTTGTTCAAAAGCTTGCCATTTGTGCAAAAACTTTTCAGCAGTAGTGAAAGGTAATACCTATCTGTTCTATGGATAAATGAGTATCTACTTGAAACACATTTTCATGTAATGAAAATGTCAAAACTTTTTTTTCTGAAGAGCCACAAGAGAATGAAGTATGAGTGGATATTTTTTTTTTATTTTGCTGAATCACATATGGGTTACTTAAAAGTGGATAGTTTTTGTTGAGCAAGATAGTGTACAACTAGAATTTTGTTTTGTTTTCCAGAATTACAGGAGAAAAATGTTAAATTGAAATTAACCCTCGTAGAGACTGTGGGATATGGTGACCAAATCAACAAAGAAGATAGGTACGCTTCCTGAAAAGGATTTTAAGCTATTATGACAAAAGAGTTACTTCATATCTCTTAAATAATTAGATCTTGAGTATAATCTACGAATTAAGATTTAGTGTTAAGTAGAGAAGCATATAAATAGATAGTTGAATGAATATATATGGGTTTGGAGTTAGGATTTGTATGTTAGTATACAAGTAATTAAGAAATCTACGTATAAAACTTTTTTTTCATAAGTATCTAGTTTCATTGCTAAATCTTCTCAATGTAAAAGGTTATTTGTTAAAGAACTTTAACAGTTTGATTTTTCATCTTTTGTACACATTATGAAAGTATGGTGAAAATGTTTTATCTCAATTTTTTACTTAAATGGATCTGTAATTCACAAACAAATGTTTTGGGAGATATATTTTTGGTTTGTCATCTACAAGTAATATTGTTCAACTTAGGAACAAACAGAAATAATTCCATGGTTTATTTCGACTGTTACCTCGAAGTAAAAGCATTCAACTACAGAACTGAGGCACTTGTATGTGTATTAAATAACAAAGATGCATTTGTTACCTATATGTTACCATGTGCAATAGAGGATTAATATATTTGAATGAATAACATAGGCTTGACTGAAATGTTTCTATAATTCCTTAATCTTGTATTACTTTGTGCCACTGTTGAAGATACTAATAGTATCACACAAAGAACAACTGTAATTTAGTGTATTTTAATACAAAGTTAGTGATTCAGTATTACAATCTATTCTTATCTGAAGTTAAAATGTCTAAAATATGTGGAAAGAAGTTGATTTTTAAGGAAAGACATAACAAAATAGAAATTTTATATCTGTTAACTAATGTTTACACAAATCCCATTTCTTCTTTTATAGCTTTAAAACAATTGTGGATTATATTGACACTCAGTTCGAGAGCTATTTACAGGAAGAACTGAAAGTCCAACGCTCCCTTTCAGCATTTCATGATACTCGTATTCATGCTTGTCTATATTTAATATGTCCAACTGGACACGGGTAAGTTTCATCACGTATTTTGATTCTTGTCTGTCTTTTATATATCCTACTGGACATTGGTGAGGTTCGTTACTGACATTGTTGTTTGTCTGTACTCTATGTGTCCAACTGGACACGGGTAAGTTTCATCACGTATTTTGATTCTTGTCTGTCTTTTATATATATCCTACTGGACATTGATGAGGTTCGTTACTGACATTGTTGTTTGTCTGTATTCTATATGTCTGACCAGACATGGGTATTGTTCGTTACTGACATTGTTGCTTGTCTGTATTCTATATGTCTGACCAGACATAGGTAAAGTTTGTTACTGGCATTGTTGTATGTCTGACTGGACATGGGTAAAGTTTGTTACTGACATTGTTGTTTGTCTGTATTCTATATGTCCAACTGGACATGAGTAAGGCTCATTACTGACATTGTTGCTTGTCTGTATTCTATATGTCTGACCAGACATGGGTAAGGTTCATTACTGACATTGTTGCTTGTCTGTATTCTATATGTCTGATTGGACATGGGTATTGTTCGTTACTGACATTGTTGCTTGTCTGTATTCTATATGTCTGATTGGACATGGGTAAGGTTCTTTACTGACATTGTTGCTTGTCTGTATTCTATGTGTCTGACCAGACATGGGTAAAGTTCTTTACTGACATTGTTGCATGTGTATTCTGTATGTCTGAGTGGACATGGGTAACGTTCGTTACTCACATTGTTGCTTGTCTGTATTCTATGTCTGACCAGACATGGGTAAGGTTCGTTACTAACATTGTTGCTTGTCTGTATTCTATGTGTCCAACTAGACATTGATGCTTGTACATGTTTTGTATGCCCAATTCAACACAAGTGAACCTTATGACCAATATGTGTTGTATAAGTGGTTTAAACCACGAGGTTTACATTTAACACTTGTATTTAAGCCATTTTACAGTTGAATTCTTTAGTGAGTGAAAGAATTAATTCAGTGATTTTTATTGATTCCTTGTAGTTATTATTTAAAATCAAGATAAAAAGTAGTGTGTCATGCGGCCAAAACAAACTGCTGCAGGATTATTAACAGGAGTGATAGTTTAGAAATATTCCACACTCTGTATCTCAGACTATGGTAATCGAAACAACCACATTTTTTCAGTTAATATGCTCTACTGGACTCTTACATCACATACCAAATTTCAAGACAATCCATTAAGAAATACCAGAGGTATAACATCTCCAATTTTGATTGAGTTTCTTCCTCTTTTTTTTTTCTTTGCACCAAAAGTATGGAAACTTTATTTGATATAAAAGCATGCTTAACTTTTATGGATTTTTTTCAAATTTGGTACATTGATAGATCATTTGATGTAAATATAAGCTACATGTGCAAAGTTATTCAACAAATACTGCTCAGATTTCACAAAAACTTTTCTGCACGTCTATGCATAAAGTCGCATGAGCTATCGGTCTAACATTTCTACTACATCTAAGAGTAAAAGTGGGCTATTTTTAGTTTTTGTTACTTGGATTAAACACTGCTAATTTAGAGCAGCAAAACTATGGTGAAAGGACATGCAGATATGTAAGCAAACTAGATGAGCAGTTTCTAGCTCAAGTTTTCAAAAGAATCATACGTGTGGACGGTTATTATTTATTGTTTCATTGCTAACTTTTCAGCACAAATTTACTAAATTTTATGAAATTCTCCTAATTAAAGAGCATTTAGCATGATGTGATATTAGCTTGAGGAGTTAGCATAAATAATGATTGATACAGCTGTACAGATCACATGTGTGTGATGACAAGAAACTGTTAATCTAGATTCCATGGCGTTACTATAAAGGAAGTTATTATCACTGTTTTAGAGAGGAAAACTACCACCATATATTTTAAAGAATCTGGTTGGTTCTGTAAAGTAAAGGTCTGTTCCGAATAATAAGGTTGCGATCCTAAAGCTAATGTTGGTTACTATTGAGTGTTACTTTCTTACTTGCTGTGGTATGTTGGTGTGTATTGACAAAAAGTTATGATATCTAATCAAAAATACCTTAGCTATGATGAAAAAAGTATTTTGTTTTACCCACCATCATGCCCCTAGTTGAACAAAAAACCAGCCTGGCTAACTAATTAATGAATATTTGCTGTAAAATTCTTCTCAATGCTATAAGTGTAGCTGCAAGTTTAGCCACCAATTTTGATTTCATTTCTCTAAGTCACACACTCAGTCCTTTTTTGGCCGCACCTTCTTTTTTTCACACCTAAGGTGTTTTTGGTTAGATTATTCTGTTACAAGATCTTTACCTTTAAATTTTACATTGTTTTTTTTATTTTTTTATGAATTAATAACTGAGGTAATTTCTCTAGAGATTTGTTGTGAACAGGATGATTTTAAAATTATATACAAGGTATTTTTAATATTGTAAACAAACTGATTTTAATACCAAATTATATTTTGTTGCATTAATCTTTTTTGACAATTAGGCTGAAGTCTATTGACTTGTTATGTATGAAGAAGTTGGACAACAAAGTCAACATCATTCCCGTTATTGCAAAATCAGATGTCATTTCTAAAGCCGAGCTGCAACATTTCAAAATAAAGGTACAGTTGTACTTGTCAGTAAAAATCAGTTTCATTATGTATAATGTCTAGATTAGTTCATTATTAGCTATGTATGTGATATTACATAAATAGATTGACAATTATAAACACAAGGTCAGTATTACAAGTCTTATTGCAATGTAACATGCACGATACTAATCAGTAGATGATGATTTGCCAGTTGAAGGTTTATACATAACGATGAACAAAAAGTATCATGTAATAAACTAATTAAGAGCTATTTAGACAAGTAAATATATATATATATATAACAATATATTGATCATTTGATGTGTTTCAGAATAATCCAGGAAAATCAGAACATGTTAAGAAAGTTAAAAAATTAAACAAAATACTGAAAAAGTCAGAAGCATGTGGCCTTTCCTTTTTTTTTCCTCTTGGAATTGAATGCACAAATTTGCAGTGTCCTTATTAGAATATATTTTCCTTTAGCATCATAGTTGGATGTATTTTCTGAAGTTTGTATTACCTTTAATAATCAGATTACAAAGGTAAAATGGTACTGATTATGTTGTGTCATAGTTTGAAGTTTGTATTACCTTTAATAATGAGATTACAAAGGTAAAATGGTACTGATTATGTAGTGTCATAGTTTGAAGTTTGTATTACCTTTAATAATCAGATTACAAAGGTAAAGTGGTACTGATTATGTTGTGTCATAGTTTGAAGTTTGTATTACATTTAATAATCAGATTACAAAGGTAAAATGGTACTGATTATGTGGTGTCATAGTTTGAAGTTTGTATTACATTTAATAATCAGATTACAAAGGTAAAATGGTACTGATTATGTGGTGTCATAGTTTGAAGTTTATATTACATTTAATAATCAGATTACAAAGGT